GTAGGTGGGGGGGTGGGGGGTGGGGGAGAGAGCAGCATGGCTGAGTAGAAGTCAGCCTGCTCTCCCCGCATGGCCTCACTCGCCCGTCCTCTCCCAGCGACCTCTGTCCCGGCCTCTGTCCCTCCTTCTCCACTAGAAGGGGGAACTGAGGTAGGGCTTGAACTGAGCCCTCAAGTGCTGATGAAATATTTAATTCTCATGAACAAGACAGTCACCAGAACATTTTTTGTAGCAGCAGAATATTGTCAGCTGTCTAAAGGTCCAAGAGTCTGGGAGAGACCAAAGGAATGCATCAGGAGAACATACAGCACTTAAATTGAATAGATGAGACATCGCAGAATAGCCTCTGGATGCACTATTAAACTTAAGAACAAAAAAGAAAAAGAAGAACAAAATGCGGACCGCAGCAAACGTGTGTATGCTGTGCTGGTTTCCAAATGCATGAAGACAAAAGGGTGCCGTGGCATATCTGCTGGGAGTGGGTGCCAGAGGTGGCAGGTGAGGTCTCCTACAAACACACTTCTCACTTTAAGTACATTTTTGTGTGCTGGTCCTAGGGCTTAGCCTCCAGACCTGGACGCTGTCTCTGAGCTTCTTTGTGCTCAAGGCTAGCACTCTACCACTTGAGCCACAGCACCACTGCCAGTTTTGGGGTAGTTAATTGGAGATAAGAGTCTCACAGGGACTTTTCTGCCCCAGCTGGCTTTGAATCATGATCCTCAGATCTCCGCACCTTATGGGGCACCAGTGCCTGGTGCTTTTTACAGACTTTAAGGGCCAAGCACTGAATAAGATTTGAAATACATCACAGGAACCAGATGTCTCTCTCTCCAGGACAGTGGACAGAAGGGCCCCGTTCACAGTAAGCTATAGCCACTGGGCTGACAGGCAGCACAGCACACTCAGATAATAAAGCAGGATGAAGTCACCTCGGGGTCTGTGAGGGACGTCCCAGGGGTCAGTGCGGGGCCTGTGAGGGACGTCCCACGGGGTCACATGGGGCCTGTGAGGGACGTCCCACGGGGTCAGTGCGGGGCCCGTGAGGGACGTTGCACAGGCATCTTGTGACATGGCCTTGCCTGCCCTCTGCCTTCTGGAAAATGGCTGGAGTGGCAGAGTGGTGTCACCCAGTGCTTGGGGGAGCCCTGCGGCAGCTCAGGTTTCTTAGGGTGGGGCTGTGTCTCAGGAGACACCAGTCTTCTCCAGCACCTGGAGGCTGCAGTGGACCACCGTGCGAGGCCCAAGTGGGGAATGATCTCAAACCTCCCAGGCCTCCCCACAGGGAGACAGAAGCCAGCACTCATTTCCACACCACTGCCAGCGGCTCCGCCCTACACTGACCTGGCCCCTACCTCTGCTTCAGTCAGACCTCACCTTGCTCGGCCAAGCCCTGGAGTCTGCAGACGTGGGCATGGGGGGCAGAGCCATGTGGCGGTCCTGCCCTCCCTGGCCCGTGTGGCTTGCAGGGCCGCCCCTCCCGCTCCTCTGGCCCCTCCCGCCCACCAGCACAGTTCCCCGGGGCTTCCGGGGGCTTCCGGGAGGCATTCCCAGATGGAAGCCTTGCAGGGCTCCATTCACAGCAGGGTTCCGTTGGTCTGAGCAGCATTGTCACAAACAGGCAAGAACAACTCCGTGGCCCCACAGTGAGTGTTTTGAACAAGCTTAGCATTGAGACTAGTTGTTAGGATTTGTTACATGCTTTTTTAAAACATTGATTCATCACCTAATGAAGAGCAAGATTCCATATCAGACTATACACCTTGTGTCACTGGTCCTTCCTGCGTCCGCAGTGTCCCTTCTAGCTGAACGAGGCCCGTGTCCGCTCCCTTCCCACGGCCTGGCCCACCAGAAGTCTCAGCTCGCGCTGTCCCTGTCAGGTGTGCAATAGCACGTGAGCCCTCACTAGGACTGCAAGGACTGCAAGTAGAAAGCACCGTGGACCCAGGTTGTTTTCACAGGGAAGGTGGGCTGAGTCAGCTCTGCCTCTTCCCCAGGGCTGGGAGGCTGGCACCAAACACTTTTTTCAAGTCAAACAGTAGAGTAAATCAGATAAAAATATTTTTTCTATAAAACTAAAATGGAAAGTAAGAACCATCAATGTAAGTGTCATCCAAGAAGACTTTTGAGACTGCAAATAAACCAAGTAAGTTTTCCCATTTGCACCAAACAGGGGTGGGGGCATCCTACAGTCTAGATCTGAGATAACAAGGAAGCATCCTACAGTCTAGATCTGAGATAACAAGGAAGCATCCTACAGTCTAGATCTGAGATAACAAGGAAGCATCCTACAGTCTAGATCAGAGAGAACAGGGCATCCTACAGTCTAGACTGAGTCACTCAGCTATCACTTGTACCCAAGCAAGCAAGCAGTATTCTCCAGCTCTGCCTGGGGTACAGCAGCCCAGGCACCTGCCGGTGTCCACACACAGATGTGAGCATTCTCCACGTGCTGGCGTGCTGTAGTGTACACACACCGGAGAGCCACCGCCAGCCCCAGGCCAGCACTGGACACAGAGTGCCTGGCTCCTTTTTTTTTTTTTAAAGTACTGTTTTCAAACTTTAAAAAATTAAGTATTTTACATAAAGCTTTCTTCCTGCTAAGTCCTATAAAAATCGGGAGCTGGGCATTTTGTAACCGGCATCTCCTTGGGGAGCAGCTGGCTGGGGTGAGGCTGCTCTTCCCAGGACCCCAGGCTCATGGCTCCAACGGCCTGTCTTCCCAGTCCAGCGGTCCTGAGCTCTGGATTCTCCCTGAGGCTGTGACCATCAAGGCCAGCCTGCGTTCTTCATAGAGCCTGCCTTCCGGCAGGTGCTACAAAGCTGAGCTCCTGGACACATATTCTCTGGACAGAGTTCCGCAAAACAAGTTGGAGGGTGTGGCCTTGAGACCTGTGTGTGTGTGTGTGTGTGTGTGTGTGTGTGTGTGTGTGTCTGTCTGTCTGTCTGTCTGTCTCAGGATCACAGGTATTGAAGGCTAGAAAGAGTCCTGGGACCAGATTAGGAAATGGAACTTTAGGGGACAGGAAAGGCAAAGGCGCTGCTCTGTCCAGCCTCAGAGCCACAGGCTGCCTGTGGCTACAGATCTCTGAAATGTGGTCTCAATGGGGCTCAATGCTCACTAGAAATATTCTAGGTTCTAAGACAGCATAAAATAATTTAAAGTAATAATTTTATATTGAACGAAAGTCAAAATGATAAAGAATTAGATACATTTGGGTAAATGTAAAATTAAAACCAACATTACGTGCCTCTCTTTTACTTCATGTGGCTACTAGAAAAACTTAAATCAGTTGTATGGCTCATCTTGAGTTCTATTGGAAAGACCAGTCTAGAACCAAGACCAGATTCTGAGGTCTGCTGGAGGCCTGTGGGCTGTTTTAACAGAACCTTACTTTGATTTTACTTTCTTTCTTGAAGAAGATAAAATTGTGGCATAGATCATAGAAAAAGAAAGCACACGGCCAGGCTCCTGTGGCTCACACTTATAACGCCAGCTGAGATCTGAGGATTGCGGTTCAAGGCTAGCCTGGGCAGGAAAGTCTGTGAGACTCTTATCTTCCATACACTATTCAGAACTGGCTGGAAGTGGTACTGTGGCACAAGTGGTAGAGCCTCACTTTAAGCACAAAGAGACTCAGCGAAACACCTTGGCCCTGAGTTCAAGCCCTAGGGCTGGCAAAAAAGAAAGCACAAGGATAAAAGTTGTCGTTACTTTTGATGAGTGGGTGCTGCCCCAAAGCCCTTCTGTGGTGTAAACATGTGGGAGGCCCAGTCAGTCTCTTTCTGACCAGCCGAGGACAGAGTGGACAGACAGGTTCACAGCGTTTACAACAGGTCTGTCTTCAAGAAAATAAAAGTATTATTTCAGGGTTCATAAGGTTTTGGGGTGAGTTTCTATCATTACTAAATGGACTAAAGTCACTGTAATAAGCATGGCCAAGATTTAAAATGGAGGAATTCAAACAAATGCTCAATTCTTGAAAAATTAGAGCTGACTTTGAAAACGTAATTGTGACTGTTATCAAGCCAGGGAAACCGTTGCTGTTAGAGACCGAGGCTTTCTTTTGCAAGGTTTGCACGATGCCCTCCCTGGCACACTGCTAGGTGAGGTTTGCTCGCAGTGTGCTAACGCTGGGAAAGGCAGACCCGACCCGTCGGTACCCGCCCACAGTCAGGAGAGGGGGCTGTGCGAAGTCTGCCTTTCCCAAATGAGCAGATGAGCCCGTCCAGGACCTACCTCTGTGGCTTTTGGGTTGAGTGCTTAGAAGCTCTGCACATTTTGTTTCTTCCTCCTGTATTTCCAGATGAAACCGGCATTCTGGATGGATGCTGTTCACCTGTTCAAGGTTGAAAGAAATAGAAGCATCTAAATTGTGCAAGAGGCAAGTCAAGCAAAAATCAACATGATTCTAAACTGCTTTCAAAACAACACTCATGTGAAAGTGATCAGTCACGTGGCTGTGAAGGCCTAGCAAATGCTTCCAGGAGCACTAACGAGGTCACACGCCAGGTGACAGGAGCTGGCAGGGGATTTGTCTTTAGCTCAAGTATGGTGGGGACATTCCAGTGGCAAGTAACCCCGGTGTGCAAGATTGATCCTGTGAGAGGTCATCATGGCAGATGACCTAAAGTGATGTCTCTATGAATTGAAGGACTCCATACTACTGTGTCAGATAGAGATGGTGTACCTGTTACCAAACTGGCCGATGACAATGCTTGCTGAGATGCCTTGCGATCCGGCTTCTTATCTACTTTTGCACTTGCAATAGACCAAGGGAGCAAACTTGGACTTTCAAAGAATAAAAGCATCATCTGTTACTTTAACACCTGCCAAGTGGTTCAATTCAATCCTTTAGCTCTCCTGGTGAGTTTTATAGCCAGTAGCAATGCCAACACAGCACTAATTGTCAGCCTAGAAAAGGAACTTGCTCCATTGTTTGAAGAAGTGATCAAAGTAGTGGTTTTGATGTATACCTCATCTTGTTACAACAACACAAGTCGATCCAGCGATCTTTAGGCCACAATGCTTTTCTCTGTATGTAAGTATGCAAGTAAGAATGGGCCCCTCTTCCACCCTAGAGATGCAGCCTGTAGGTGTAGTTGATAGGCAGACCAGGCATAGAATAGGCACAAGCTGACATGGTTCAGCCGACGGCTCTGCGGCCACCACACGTGCCTGGGGTCCTGTGAAGTGGATCAGAATCAAAATGCTGTGTTGCTCACTTGAGCCTCTGAGTGTTCTCTGGGTAGAGGACTCGTGGGGGGTAAGGGCACAGCAGACCCTCTTCCTGTAACAATGAGGACATATTTTTCCTTCCATTGTGTTTTATTTCTTTGTACTGAGAGCGAGGAAGATAAAATGGCTTAGTAAATGTAATAAAATCAGTACAATCACTACATTATGTATTATGTTGTGGTGTACACACACACACACACACACACACACACACACATAATAAGTTCAGCGGGTGCTTCTCTTTAATGAAAAGGAAAATTATAGCTTATTCTTTTCTTCCTACTCTGCTCTCTATAACCAATCAGCATTTTGTCAATTGTTCTTTACAGAATTTAAATATGATTTTTTTACTGAATCCTGCTTCCAGTATCAGTATGACTATAAATGTGATAGCTTTAGCCATTTTTTCATATGAGTATAAATAAAATAGTATTTAAAAAAATAAAAAAGTGATCACTTTCATTTTCTTTGCCCCATGTGTTAGGAAATGGAAAGACTTGGGAAAAAATTATATTAAGTGAAGTAAGCCAGGCCCAAAGAAACATAGGTCCCATGGTTTCCCTTATTTGCAATTACTAGTACATGTTTGAATCAACCAGAAACGGTCAGATAAGTTGATGTTAAGTGAAGTGAACCCTAAGATAAGGACTCAAGTGGTTTTTCATTCTTGTGATTGTTTCTAACATATTTATAAGATGATTTCTTTGTTGCTTTGTATGTCTCTCCCCCACGGTATAACCCCTGCTTTCACTGCATTTGATGTTGGTATAATTTGGGGAGGCAAGGGGAAAAAACAAATCGTCGAAATAGGGATACAGGTGGACCCATTGCAACAATGAGATGTACAAGTTGTTATGTCGAAAACAAACTTTACAGCTTTGGCAGGTGGGGTTGCGGGGGTGGGGGGAGTGTAGTCCTGGAGATGGGAGGGCAGGGATGGTAAAGGAAAAACAAAGGAGGAAGCAACAATGTTTGATAAGAAATGTATTCATTACCTTGCTCATGTAATTGTAACCCCTCTGTGTGGTATTTTCTCAATAAAAAAACTAATAAAAAAAAAACCTTTCAACTTGGAAAAAGGTTTTTTTTAATGAAACAAAATCAAATAAAGTTTTTTTGATTCTGAGCAGGAAAGTTAACACACAACATTGTTGTTAGTATTAATTTAAGGTCAATGGAGCTCTTTTAACGAACCCATAATGACTCATTATTCAAGGCCATCCTCTTCATAGCCTTTGATTTGATTCAAGTAAGCGCATGTTTATTCTTAAGGACGGTGTGCTATACACAGAGCCTCGTCTGAGGACCATCTGTGTTCACTGTGGTTGTAAGAGGCTAATGACATTTTTAAAGGCTTCAGGACACAATGGAAACTTAACCCTTACAGACAAAATTGTCATCATTTTGACTCTAGCACTTGATGTAAAGGAGTTTTTCAAATAGATGAGAGGCATGGGAAAGGAGGGCAGAGGGGAGAGCCACAAGCGGTGGTTCCACAGCCATGGACAGTCTCTAGTCAGGACACACAGCCGGGTCACCGATGCTCTCCACCGGCCGGGCACCAGGCAGAGGCCCGCAGGCTTGCGCCTCAGCACCGTTCTCGACTCTGCTTCACAAACACTCACATGCTTTGCTTCTGTGCCTGTCTCAGACCTCAGCAAGAGGAAAAGGCCGTCGCTGTCCCCAGCTGCCACCTACATCCCTCCTCCTCCTCTCTCCTTCCTTTTTTCTCCCTCCTCCTGCTCCTCTTTCTTTTTCTCCCTGCATCTCATATTCCACACTTTCTCTCTGTATTTCTCTTTCTCTGTCTTGACCTTACTCTCTCCTCTCATTAAGACTTTACTTCTGGGGCTGGGAAGGTGGCTCAGTGGTAGAG